ACTATGGCCCCCACCTGTGGCCCCAACTGTGGCCTCCAACTGGGCCCCCACTAGGGCCCCCAACTGGGGCTCCCACTATGGCCCCCAACTAGGGCCCCCAACTAGGGCCATCAACCGGGGCCCTGGGGCCCTCCAACTGGGGCCCCCAACCGGGCCCACAAGAGGGGCCCCCATAACCAACGCGCTAACTCACCCCCATATGCCCTATAAATTTATCATAATTGTCAGTTTTAATTGTTAATTGTTAATCAAAAACATTGAAAAGATTGAAAATTGATTAATTGTTAATTGTAGATATTTGCGATTAACGATTGCGGTTCTCGCAACTAACAATTGATCAATCGTTAATTGCTGTTTCGCAATTGACAATTCATTAATTGTCAATCTTTAATTGCCAGAACAATTAAATTTTGCCCAACACTGCTTAGACAGTAATGTAATTCACTAAAATTAACTTACATGTTTATTCATAACAAGATTGTTGCTACTGGTCTTTGTGACCCATCCCCACACAGTTTTTTTGGCAAATGGGTAATGTATAACACCTATGATAGGCACACCCCGTACAGCTACACAGGCCATTGTTGTTACATACTTGTAGAGGCCCTCTGAAACAATTGTCATAAAAAAATTATTAATACAAACGATAGTATGGTGGCCACGAACCAAACTGACGACCGCAACCGACAAGCTAGACAAATTCCAAAGACTCGCTTGCATGGGTACGACCGGCTGCATGAAGACAACTCCAACTGCGGCCCTCGAAGCGATGCTGGACCTGCGACCCCTCCCACTGTTCATCAGACAGGAAGCGTCGTCAACAGCAGTGCGTCTAAATAGAGCCGACCTTTGGAAGCACATGAGGACCCCACATACAGAAATACTTTATAAGACTGTCAATGAGGAACCGCTACTGGAGGCGGTTGTGGATAGGATCCCAAATCAATACATCTTTGACAAAAAATACAAGATACAATTGTTTGAAGATCCCAACGAAGGACTGAACCCCAGAGAGGTCCGAGTCTTCACTGATGGATCTAAAACAAATTCAGGAACAGGTACTGGGGTATTCTCAGAACACCTGAATATCAGGATATCAACACCGCTTGGTGACCACAACACAGTATTCCAGGCTGAATGCATGGACATCAAGTTGGCGGCAGAAGCAATCATAGCGAGAAGAGTAAAGAATTACTCCATTCGAATACTCTCTGACAGTATGTCAGTACTTCAAGCACTGAATAGCTATGACATAAACTCAGGGCTCATTTACGAATGCCATCAAGCACTCATGGAGGTATGTATACAAAACCATGTAACTCTACAGTGGATTAAAGGATACAGCAGCTCACGTGGCAATGACGCAGCAGCTGAACTAGCCAGAAAAGGGTCGGAGACGGACGCTGTAGGACCAGAACCGATAGTGTCCCTCCTCTACCAATGGTCCAGAACAACTATACACAAAGGTACAAAATCTTCACATAATAATACATGGACCACCCTTACGATTTGTAGACAGACGAGGGAAGCACTCCCAACGCTCAATGCCAGTCTATCTCGAATATTAATTAAACTTAAAAGGCAAGAGCTTCGCACTCTAACTGCCGCCCTAACAGGTCATGGTCCATACAATAAACACCTTTTCAATTTAGGTATCACAGACAGCCCTCTATGCAGAGCGTGCATGGAGGGGGAGGAAACGGCTGCGTACATCCTACTTCAGTGCTCCGGCGTGGCCAAGTACAGGGCGAAGTACCTTGGAGTGCCAAGGTCGCTCCCGGAAGTCTTCAGCAAACCAAGGAGCCTGCTGAGATTTCTGGAGAAGCTTGGGTGGCACGAGTAGGACTCTGCACCCACCACACGCATAATGCGCCTTGTCGTCGAGTTGCGGATACCAACCCATTGCACCAAGTACCAAGTAGTAGCATTACTGCTGCGTTCCGGTTTAGAAGAGTGAAATTACAGGCCATGAGACTTGTCAACTTACGTCTCAAGGTATGGGCGCGGTCGCAGTGCCCTTAGATCTTTGCGATTTAAAGCTCTGAGTTGCACTGCAACTATTATGGACTTATTCGTCCCATCACTTGATGTTATAAAAAAGCACATGATTTGGTACATACAATTTCCACTATCATATTCGTACATCTTCCAGGCATTGATGGACAGCCAGGTGAGCCGTGTTGATATGTTCTGGTTACTGTACAGAACTTCATTTAGTATTAAAATGTAATTTAAATTCCATAGTGACGGCTATGTGCACCCTGCACTACACAATCTGCATTTTGCAATCTTCAATAGCATGGTAAAACAGAGTGTTTTGATTTGCAAGTATGTATGATTTATCATAATATGCGATTTTTATTAATAAAAGTATTTAATTTAGTAGATAGTAGATAGAGTGTATTATTATTATTATTAGGGTGGCTTTATTCAGGACCTATGCATCCGCTAGTCACTTCAACCATTGACTGATCTCGATAGATCTAGATAAAGTTTAGATATCTGTTTGAATTTGTAACTAAAATCAAAACAATTAGTTAATCTAAAAAATCTAAGCTGTTCGTAATCATGAATTTCAGAAATACACTTTGTAGATAGATAGTGTCTGAGAGTACCACTTTAAAAATGCAATTGAGGCAGTTTGCATTTTTTCATACATAATTTCAATAACATCCATATAGTCAACAAGGTTAGTGGGGATCCCTGTCATCCATTTGTTGTGTTGAAAAGTGGAACAATGTCACAGAAATGCAGAGCATATACCTTTTTTCATAAGTTTTTTTTTATTTGCATGTAGCAACATCATCTTTGTCACTTATGGACATTTCTCCAAAGCTTCAATTTTTTGTGTCAAATTTGGTGGACCAAATATGCCCGTAACTGTTAGGAATCTAGTTGCCCAATTAGCAGAATCTTATATAAGTTTCAGTTCTTTTTCCCAACCACTCAAAGTTTCTCCTGAAATGAGGCAAAAAAATGAACCACCGATATCAGAAAAATTAACTCCTCTTGGAGAAATGCCCTGATTTGTAATGTTTTAAATATAATGGTTTTTATTTAGTATTTTATACTAAGTTTAATTTTTTTTTATCTTTTTGTCAGCTGTAAACCAAAGTTACTCACCGCTAATTTTGATCCATTTACCAGTTTCCATTTTAAATCATGTGCCTATATAAAACCTAGTAATATTTGTATTTAAGTAGGAAGTGTTTTATATTCTTGTACCTGTTTTTTATACCATTTTTTGTTACAGTCCTTTCTTTCACCTTTATTGTATACAATAAATTTATGTAACCGAGTAATCTATTTTATTGCTCCCTATTGGATTTACAACCTTTTCGATACCACACACCAAGTGATAGTAAATACTTTGCATTTAATTTTTAAACAGTACATCAAAATCTTTTGTGTACCTAGCATGAAAGACCTTCTAATTAAGTTCCGACTGGACAACAGAACATCTCAACAATCTGACAACATTGTAGTAAGAGTACATACAATATAGTGGACAATTTTGACTATGATTTGTCCTATTTAATAATGTATTCAAAAAGGTATTTTGTAGGAGACTTTGATAATCTTCAAACATATATACAATTACATTTCTCATTGTATCTACTACAAAGAAATTAAATTATTCCAACATATTCAATACCTGTATATTCCTGTGTAGCGTCCAAAGGATCGATCCAAATAGTCACATCTCTCGTCAAAACCATTTCATCATTCAAAAATCGTATCAAGTCGTTTTCAGGAGCTACAGTTTCAACATCCAGAGGTTCTTGTTCCATACACTTATGGTCATCTTTACTGTGCTCCTCAGATACTACAGTCACCTTAGGAAAAGTCTTCAGAAGACTGTAGTACATAGCGCAATGCGAGGCATAATCTGCGTCCGTCACAACATCATTTGCGCCTTCTTTCGTCTTCCCCTTACTCTGTATATTTAAGTCCTGGTGCGCACCAGCTTGTACCTGAACACCCCCTCGCTCAGCAGCTCGTATAGCCCCCATTAACAACGTCCTCAAGTTAATCAGATCACTCTGATCCGACGGGTAAGCAGATCCTCCGGATCGCCAATATATTATAACAAATAATACAAACACCAATGTAAAACATGCAAATTTATTTAACCTCAATGTTCCACCAAAATTCATGGTGATTTTGTGTTAATACGATTTATTTTATTATTAACAAGATTTTGGAATAAAACATAGGGTGCGCCTATATAAGTAGCCAAAACAACCTAATAATAATAATTATATTACATGTCATTGTGAATCTGACATAATCAGAGATGGGAAACACAGCTTATTTTTTTAAACGTTTAAACGTTATGCTTTTTTAAAAAAGTGTGCTTGTTGCATGGAATTAATAAGTACTTCGTACTTATTAATTCCATGGCTTGTTGTTAAACGCTTTTTCACTTAAACGCTTTTTAGTTTGAAGCTACAAAATCGTTTAGAAAACGTTTAAGCGCATAGAGTCGTATTCTAGAACTCTACTCAATGCTCAAGTCAGGACTTGAGTATTGCAGTGAGCACTGAAAATCATACTCAAGTCCTTGCCATTAGGGTCCTATTTCCAGTGCTTGAAATCATACTCAAGTCTGGTCAAATCCTGACTTGAGCATTGAGTACAGTTCTGGAACACGACTCATAGGGTCGTATTCTAGAGCTCTACTCAATGCTCAAGTCAGGATTGCACTGGAAACACAAGTACTGGAAATACGACCCTAATGGCAGGGACTTGAGTATGATTTCGAGTGCTTTAAACCATACTCAAATCCTGACTTGAGCATTGAGTAGAGTTCTAGAATACGGCCATAGACTTTTATGTTACGAAAATATTGCAACGTTGTGTTGATAGCAAAACGCAAGAGTGTACCACTAAAAGTTTTAAGATAAATTAAGTTTTTTGAAAAAAAAAACGAGTTATATTTTTATTTATGACATAACATTATTATATTAACATTTTGTTCATTGGCGTTTAAAAGCGTTCAAAAACATAAATTGTTTAACTGTTGTAGTTGTTAAGCGTTGAAATGGAAAAAACTGCTTATTTTTCAACGTTAAAACGTACTTTTATAAAGCGTGCTTGTAAAAGCGCTTTTCACTTAAACGCTTTTTGGTTTGACGCTTAAAAAGTCGTTTAGAAAAACTTTTAAGCGCATAGATTGACTAGTGACCAACGCTTACGCTTAAAATGAAAAGCGTGCTTATGCGCTTATTTATATTATTTTGCTTATGCAGCAAAAACAGCGAAAAACAGCAAGTGTTTTTCGTTTAAACGCCCACCTCTAGACATAATTATGACGTAAAGATTTAAGTTTAAAAATATTTTATTATTAATCCATAAACATTGCAAGGAACAGTGATTAGAGTAGAATCTGAAATCGTTATAGACATGTGTTGATAGGTCATGCAAAAAAATCCAGTTTTGAAAAAATAATATTTTACCATTAATATTTGAAAGTGTCAAAAGTTGAAGTTACTGAAGAAAACGATGGAGTGATGAAATTATGATTAAATTCAACTCAGTGACGCTAGCGTAGCGATAAGAACAGTCCAAAGTATCAAGCTTGCACTCTTTGCTATAATATACAAAAATATTCTTATATTTTAATGCCTTGTGCCAACATTTTAAAATAACAAAATAAACATTTGAATTCTGGAATAATATAAACAGTTCACATTAAGCGTATTAGATGGCTTCTACTATTTTAAGATGTCATAAGACTTGAACATAAGTGCTCATATATTTTTGTATTTTAAAGTACTTTTATAATCTTGTTTTTAAAAAAACAATGCAAGAAATACTATTCATAAATATTATGAATACAAAATTGATACTGGAAACTAAAAAACAAACATTAAATAAAATTAATAAGAGATGCTATTGCAGCTCGAAGCTTTTCTTAAGTGAATTTGACTTGTTAAAAGTTTATATGCAAACCACACCGCACGTGTTCTTATATGGAAATTGTAAATCGTCTTTTTTTATTTTACATTACAAAATTAAACTTTTTTTCTGTACATACTAGCATAGGGAACATTATTATTAAATATATGAGAACATGTTAGTGGCAGCACTGTTACCTTGTGGATGTCGAATGTACGTAACATAAATCCGTGATGTCGAATTGTTTGCTCTACTCAACGTCCGAGCTGTCAAAAATTTGTCTATGGGCAACTATAAAAGCAGGCAGGTGATTGCTCGATGTTTTATTCGCACGTTTCTCTTAATTTAACTGTAATTAAGTGCTGATAATTTTATTGTTGCATTGCATTTCACAACACTACAGAAGACCGCGCTGTCGCCCACCATCCCACCATGATTTTTGTCGACATTTACGACATGGTATTTAAACATGTTACTGAACATCAAAGTAAAGTAAAAATAGGATGTTGATTTCCATGTTTTATCCTTGAATTTACGTTACAGGCCGGCTGGTGGACGTTCGTAATTGGCCTTCAAGTCATTTTCATATCGGCTTACTATATATGGACGAAGAATAAATCGCGGAGACGTGAGGAACCGCAATGCAACAAGAATAATATTGTATGGAAGCCGAAACCTTTAATTGAACACGATGTAGTTGTCGAGGAGCCTCCTGCAATGGGTAGAATTGACGATAATGTGTTAAACGTTGGTGCTACAAGCTTCTTGTGCCTTGATAAAGAGAAATCTATTATGGACAGTGCATTAGAATCGTTGAACAAGTATGGAGTAGGTTCTTGTGGGCCGAGAGGCTTCTATGGTACTATAGACGTGCATTTAGAGCTGGAAGAACGTCTGGCTAAGTTTCTAGAAGTAGAAGAGACCTGTGTGTACTCATATGGGTTCTCTACAATTGCTAGTGCGATACCTGCTTATGCAAAGAAGGGAGACATAATATTTGTGTAAGTATTTCTTTGTGTTACTCTGAATTTTATGTTCCAATTAATATTTAACTGTTTTTTAAGTTTACAAGGTTTTTAGATGAAACAATAAAAACTGTATTAATATAGTTACAATATTGATATACTAGAGAAACTAATTTATTTTAAAATTCTACCACCAAAGTTTGTTATAAAATTTGCATACTCTGCTCTTTTTTTTATCTGCTTTAACTGTTATCACCAATCAACAAATATCCTTAACTCCAATTATTTTGTGAACAGAGATGAATGTGTCTGGTTCGCCATCCAAAAAGGATTAGATGTTACGCGTAGTACAATCCGTTACTACAAACACAATGACATGGATCACCTTGAAGAGTTACTCTCTGAGGCTGCAAATAAAAAGGAGCTGAACTCTCGCAGACGAGCTTTCCTTGTTGCAGAAGCTATTTATTTTAATACTGGTGAAATGTGTCCACTGAAACGACTTGTGGAACTCGCAAGAACATACAAGTTGAGAATAATTTTGGATGAAAGTCTTACAATTGGGGTAAGTTCTACATACATACTGTCACATAATATGTCATGCAATTCCTACCTCTGTTGGATATGCTTTGCTTGCAAGCTCTCTGTAAATGTTCCTTAATGTTGAATATTTCTGGTCTGATCTTTATTACTTGATCATAATTTTTTTTCACCTTGTTGTTTATGGGGTTGTAATCACTGTGTGGGTTTTGTATAAAAAAACAACATACAAAAAGTCCCTTCGTAACCACCTTGTACTTCTAACAGATATCAAACAGATTAATTTCTGCTTAGAAATACAGATGGCTTTCTAAGCAGATGCTTGCATACAATTTTGAAGCTGATGCCCTTGTAGCCAAAGCTCAAAAATAAAAAAGAGTGAATATAAATTGTAAAGATAGCACCACATTTAGTTTTGCAAACTGTGCATTTTTTTTAATAAGCACTACTAATTTAATATAAGTTTTATTTTTAAAGATGGTTTTAAAATAAAATTATCCCATTAATGTTAATATTAAGACTTCATACTTATAACTCATCTCTTCTTGTGTCAGGCCTTAAAGAGCAAAGACCCATATTGCTGTTCTAGTTTGACTAAAAATACAAATAAACAGGAAGTTTGTAAGAAATTATACTGGATTTGAAAAGTGCGTATAAAATTGTTGGCCTCTGAATCATTTGTCACTTGCACTGAGTTTCCTTCTTGTTTAAAGGATATTTCATGATTTATCCCTATAACAGAAACTTGTAACATGCTCAAGTGATAGATTTGTGTTAAATTTTTAAATCTCGTGTCACTTATTACTTTTTGCAAGTTTCCACCAATTATTTTTAGTCATTAACATCATGTCTACTAAATGTAATTACATCAAAATCTTACTTACTACACTCCTGCACACATACATTCGAGCTACCTTTCATTTTCAGCATTAAATGCTATAAGCTTAAACATTTGATTGGTCAATGATTCTTTATTGAATTTGTTAGACTGGGGAACCATAGGACCCTTTTTTCTTCAATGATAATATCATTGTATTATAGACCTTTAAGAATAAAAATCCAAAATGATTCCAATTATGTATTTGATACTGTACATCTTTAAAAACAAGACACTAAACGAAATAAGTATCGTTTCGGGAAAAGGTCGTTAAAGTTTCTGAAAGTTGAAATTTAAAAGTTCATGGTTTGACCTAACACTTCTCAAGATTCGAATCCGTTCACGAGTTTTCCGCTTTGCGTTGCGGAGAGACTTGCGCGCATGCGCGGCGTTTAGCCTATGTTTGGGTTGTCGACACTCTCGAACCGGCTGCTACTCTGTGATTGGCCAGTGGTGCTGTCCTCCGCAAACATTCCTTGTTGCTTGCGTGGAAATATTAAGCTTGCTAGATATCAAATTCACGCAACGCAAAAACAGTCAGACTCGTGAACAGTCCTACCAGCGCGTACGCAACAGATCTTTGATAGATCTTACGAAAAACGCAAGTAAAAGACTCGTGAACCATTACCCATAGAACACCTGCAGTCGTGGTGTTAGCTGCATGAAGTCGATTACGACTTCACGCATTAACTGCAAACAGCAGTCAATCTGTTAGCAGCCTAATTGTTATCAATTTAATAAGCGTGTTTTTTTACTAATACGTTTAATAATACATACATTTCATATGACCTTCGATCAAATAGTCTTTATGATGGAAGAATATGACATTCCTAGAAATGCTTTACTTTCGAACAACTGCTTTGAATACAAATTAGAATAAGTATAAACTTACTTAAAGATGAACATCACTTTGTTTTTATTAAATTAAAAAAGACAAATTAGATTTTAAGACTTTCGTGGTTAATCACTAAATGATTATCACTAATATCAGGTTTCTTACCACGGCATGACTTCTTTTTATTTTCCCGATATTTCGGAACGGTTGCACGCTCCATGGTCACGGGTTGACTTTCTAATCAACCCGTGACTTTCCAATCAACCCGTGACTTTCCAATCAACCCGTGACTTTCCAGTCAACCCGTGACCATGGAGCGCGCAACCGTTCCAAAATATCGGGAAAATAAAAAGAAGTCATACCGTGGTAAGAAACCTGATATTAGTGATAATCATTTAAAAGACAAATTTATTACTTTATTTATAGCAGTTTCGTTATCTGTAAACTTATTGTTACCTATTAAAGTAGGTCAACTAAAGCCTCTCTACGAATGTCATATTAAATGTATTGGAGTGTTTAACGTTAAAGTTTTGGATATATTTAGTTTTATTTAAAAAAAGTTATTGATGTCGTTTTACTCATTATGTAAAGTACCTTTGGTATCAATTTAAGGACGCAATTATTTGACAAGAATTTCACAGCGCTCACCCCGCACGGGCGCCGAGCGGAGTCCGCGCGGTTGTATTATTCAGAGGAATTTAAATGTTGTTGCCTGGTAAATAGAATTCGGATTCGCCTTTAATGTACATGAAGGCGTGATAACCGGGCGGTTACCACGCCTCGCAGCTTTCTCTTATAGTTACGGAATAATCGCCTGGGCACATTTAACGATTACACCCTGTATATTATATCCGTAGGTGAGAGGTTAATTAACTTAAGTCCATATTTTGGCATTTAGATGTTTTTACAAATATTGCTTTAGAATAGGGTTTCTTAACCTGTGGTCCAATGGATCCCTAAGAGGTCCGAGTAATGAACGCTGTGGGTCCATGGCGGGCCTACCTAACATAAAAAGTGCATTATATAAAAATTGGTATACAATATGTTGTGGTTAAATACGTACGTGCATGTACTGTGCGCGTGACCTTTTAGAATTTTCGCACCCGAGAGACGCGCGTCTATGCAAACCGCGAGCGTTGTTTTAAACAAAATTGAATTATGTATATCCAGTTCTTTAGTTTTCGCGATTGTTACACATAGGAAATGAAACTGTTTTTCCAGATTTAAATCGCGTATCCGGAAAAATAGTTTCATTTCCTATGACTTGTGTACGTTAATTGTTAACATGTCTGTGACATAACAAGTGTTTATGTTTGAAGAAAAATTGGCAGCAATTTTAAAATTATTTATACTTATGTTAAATTGACACGTCATAAATTTGAAAGAAAACGCGCGGCGACCGTCCAGTTACCACGCTTTCACGTACATTAATGGCGAATCTGAATCCTATTTTCTAGGCAACAACAGTTAAATTCGTCGCAATAATACAGCAGTGCGGCCGCCGCTTTGACCGAGAACAAGCCAGCCTCGCCCGCACGCACGCTCAATTAAGTTAGAACGTAAAAGCGAAATAAATAGAGTGTATTTTGCCATGACAGTTTGATGCACGCGGTCGCTGCACGACGCTGAAATTTGTGTCGAATAAACGCACCTAAGGGTCGTATTCTAGAACTCTACTCAATGCTCAAGTCAGGATATGAGTATGGTTTAAAGCACTCGAAATCATACTCAAGTCCCTGCCATTAGGGTCGTATTTCTAGTGCTTGGGTTTCAATTGCAATCCTGACTTGAGCATTGAGTAGAGTTCTAGAATACGACCCGTAATTGCGTCAGTGTAGTACCAAATGTGCGATAGTTTATTTGATTTTGACATTCATTTTAAATACCTACTTAAGAGCCTCATTCTTTTTAAAACGCTGTGTAGCAAAATTACTGTTTGTCATTTAAAGTTCTTTACGTCACACCTGCAGATATAGAGCAGCTGTTTTTAAGAGTTACCTATAGTAAATTTAAGTCCAAAGGTCAGCCATACATTTGTTAACATTTTCAATGTCAGGTAATAGGCAAAAATGGCCGCGGCATCACCGAGCATCTGGGCATACCACGAGACGAGATCGACTTAATCGTTGGCTCGTTGGAACACAGCTTCGCAACCATCGGGGGCTTTTGCGCTGGAACACACTTCGTCGTTGAACACCAGAGGCTGTCTGGTTTAGGTGAGTAGCATTCAACTTTATCCCGCTCCGAAGCACGTGTGCTGGTCAACACAGTCACTGTTTTACAACTAACCGTATGCCATCGCGAACTAAAAGATTTTATGGCACCTTCCTCTGTTGCACAGTTGAGAAATGGAACTCCCTTCCAGGCCACGTTTTAGGATATGGGGTCCTTCAAACGAGGCTTATAGAGGCATCTTGTAGGCATGCAGGGTGGAGGTGGGTAGGGCAGTGATTGTATCTACACTGTGCTGGGTTCCTTCACGTTTGGATTCCATTTTACGTCAGGAGGAATGGAATCACATGCCTATCATGTATATAAAAAAAAGTTTATGTTTCTATCTCATCGTCTTTAAATTCACTATGATTTGTTTATTTTTGAGATTTTTTGTGGAATTACGCAACTAGGTTTGTTATAATTATTAATACAAAAATCGAACACAGAAAAATTTCTTCGACCCGGTGGGACTTGAGTCCACGACCATGCTGCACCGTAGCATTGCTCTTACCAACTGAGCTACAGGTCAAGTTACCGAGTCGTCGAAATTCTCCTATGTGTTTTTGTTATAGTTCTTTGTACTGACTTTCTTCATTTGTCGCCGCAAGTGACATCTAGTGAGAGAGATTTTTGTAAAACCTTCGCACCTTCTCGTTGTGGATATGTTGGATCTTTGCATTAATAATCAGCATTAATAATCAGTTATATGTCATCGTCACTGGCAATGGAACTTCTTGATACTCATGCTTTAAGGCCAGCGCAAATCGGCGGACGGCAACGCAGAGGACATTGAATTTATCACTACAGTACATTTTATGCTATTACAAATGAAATAAGGTATATTTTAAATCATTGCTCTGAGACGCAGAGAGAAATTGCGCCGCGATGCTCGCGAGGTCGGTTTCAAGCGCATTACCTATAACATATACCTTATTTCAATTGGAATAGCATTTGGCAAATTTAATACCCTCTGCCTTCTCGTCTGCCTATATTCCCTGGATCTAAGAGTCTATGCACACGACGAATTTTATACGCGTCGACGACGCGCCTTTCAAGAACGCGCATTTACGGCGACATAGAGGCTCAAAAAGCAGATTGTTGCGTTTGTATCGAATCAAACGCGCGCAAACATCGCGTTGCAAGCCACAAGCTTATAAAAAAAATAAAAAATAAAATGCATTTATTTCGGGCAACGTTGATCCTTAGGGTGTTAGTATTACAAAACGAACTTTAAATAATAACTATGTTAGTACCTAAACTTAAATGGAGAGAAGACCAGTGCCTTAATAGGCCACTGTCCCACCTGTCAGCTACAACAGACAGGAGTCTGTGACGGCTGGCGCGCATCCTGCGCATCGACGCGCTGCAGCGCTTGCGCAACGTCGCGCCGAATCCGTCGACATTTGCGACCGCGAACATTCCGGAAGCGCTACAGCGTCGTGGAAGACGTAAAAGCACCCTAAATGCGTCGTTGTATTGGACCCGCAAAGCATCGTGAGATCGTTGTGCGAACCTGCTCCATAGACTGCAAGAATACAACGATGTACAGTACGCTTTAAATAATGTTATTTTTACTTGAGCTGTACATCTGCTGAACCTGCGCGCTATCATGTTCGATCTCATGGTCAATGCTCTGCGCTCCCTCTCGATATCCGCGTCATCACGCAGATCGTCGGTTACCATGTGCCCTAGATATTTAAATGACGTCACCCTTTTCAGTTGTTGACCGTTAAGAAATATGGGAGGGACATGTGATGGGCACCTACTACCTGCCTTAAAGACCATGTATTCGCTGTTATGCACATTATATACAAGATTATGCTTCGCAGCATTATTATGTGTATATTATGAATATTATGTATGTATTATTATGTGTATACTCCACTGGAGTTTACACTTAGGCCCAATTTATATTGCGGCGGACCGGAATGGAAGCTCGCGCAATCGCGAGAATTCCGCGGAAGATTTTGGCGCGTATCTAGTTTGTATGTTACACAGTTGACCGTAAAGTTCATTGTGCTATGTTTAAAACTATCTCTTATCAAAATGAGCGATACATACGCGCGTCTACGGCGCGTTACACGCGCAGATGACGCGCGTTTACAGCGTCACTGAATTTATGAATGCGTGCAAAGGTTCACTCGCTGCGACTGCATCGCGTCTGAATCGAGTTTACGCGCGTCATCTAGCATAGGCTCTTTTAGTACCCACGCGTATTAAACGGCAGTTTTTTCATATCGACGAAATATTTGCAACGTCCTTTAATCGTTCCGTGAACTGTAAAGTACTTTTATCATTTTTATTCAATTTCCTCTCCTGGTCCATATTTTCGTCATCATCACCACAATTAACCGGTTCTCTGTAAGGCATAGGTTTCCAAGGTTTTTGGATCACCGCACCGCCCACTGAGGCAAGATAAAAAATTTCAACGCCCACCACTATAAAAAATAATTGAAAACATGTATTTTTTATATAAACTTAACACAAAAAATCATATGAAAAAGATGATATATAATGTAGTGTAGTTTATATAGATAATTCAGGTTTTTTTGTCAAATGCGGCAGCACCCCCTGGAAGGCATCAACGCCCCTCAATTGCGTCCAAGGCCCTACCGCCCTAAGACTTTTCAGCGCCCACTGAGGGGCGGTAGGGCCATTTTGGGAAACTATGCAAGGCGATGTATTACGCGGTTTACGCCTTAGTCCATAGTCCTAATGCGGTCTGGGGACTTCACACGTTTTCAAGTATTATTATGAACTACTTTTATGATATGCATATTTCATGACAGTATTTTCCTTGACCGTTAGTGAGAGGTATTGCTATTAAACAGTCACAAGTACTTACAAATTAAATTCACATATACATGCTGCTACAGGGATTTCAATCGTCGACCTTTTAGTTGAGAAAAGACCCTTAGGTTGAATTCACCTCTGTGCGTACCTCTGGCCTCTTCAAACTTTCGGCGGAATGCATATCTCCTGCGTGCGAGTAATAGTTTTAATGCATTGTCCAAGCAGGTTGATATTGACCTTTTTAACACTAGTGTTGCATCGGTGAAGCGTCTTATTAGTGGTTTGTATTTTGGCGAGTAGCTAATTGTTGTGTGTGCGATTATGTCATTACCTATATAGTATAATTATTAGTTATATAGTTATAATTTATAGCTCTTTAATTAACTTAATGTGTATCTACTGGTGAGGACCTATAATTGGCTCTCCGTTTTTATTTAAGTTTATGTTATGTAAGATAGCCGTTGGTCTTCCTAAAATTAAATAATAATAAATAATAATAATAATAACAGTTCTCCTATTGAGCTACAAACCTTGTGTTATTAACTCGTCTAAATAAACCTTTTGATCCTAAACTTTAGTTAAAAAAAAATTACGTCTTTGGCTTAAACTGCATTGCCGATGAGCCAAAACATTTATAAAAAGAGAATTTTATTTACAATACTGAAGACGAGGCAGTATAGAATTTGATCCAAAGTTCATTTCACCTAACATGGGTACAGTGACGTTTGAGATTTTTTTATTTTTATTAACAGTTTTGGCTTGGATACAAGTCCTTTGAACCATGTCTTCGTTTAATTATCGGGATCCTCAGTAATACTTTCCATTGTAGTTCAAATTCTAATACATTATGTTTTCACTTTCTCTTAAACAATTTATTTCACTTATTTGGGTTTTTTAAATAGTCTTTTAAGCGGCGGGAGTCAATATTTATGTTTTACTTTCACTTCACAAATCACATTATCTTCTATCAGTTTGAACAAAAACTCTGAATTAGTAATTATTGGAATTTTCAGGTTAAATCTTTTATAATTTGGTTTAAAATAAGGAAAGGAAACTATATCTAACTTTCTTCATCACTGTTTCTTTCTCCGTTTTTTCTTCATAATATACTTAAAATAAAAATAATCTTTGCAAAAACTGTTACAAAACCGCGCCATTCTCATGTTTGAGATTTGAAGTTTCCAGAAATGTAGTGATGTAAAGTCGAATGAAAAAAAAAAAAAAGATTTAATATAACTTATCGAGATTTTTTTTATAATACCAAGCGACGAAACGAACAAGTCATGGGCCCTATGGTAAGCGACACGCCTGTCCATAACAGTTGCAGTGTTACTCAGAGCTTTAAAACGCAAAGTTTGGAGGGGTACTGCCATTGCGCCCGTCACCCTTAGACAAGTTGACAAGTCCCATGTGCCTGTAATTTCGCCAGCACCCATGCCCTTCAAAACCTGAACGTAGTAATGCTCTGCTGTTACTAAAGATTATTTATAACGAAGAGAGAATCTTTAGAGACTATAGTTTAAGAACAAAAAATAAAACCAGCCAAAAGGATTCAATTATTGTTATTAAGTTACTAAAACACAACACAAAATAAAAAATCAACAATAACCGAACAAAACGCCAACAACAAAGCGTAACATCAAAAGCAACGAAACGAAATTTGAACAAACACTCCAAAAACATTATGCAAAACTCAAAACAAAAGCAAATCGACACGCATACAAGGTCATTGTAATACAATTTGTACACGTATTGACGTGTGATAGACAATAACCGATTCGATTTGTCGATTCTATGGTGTAAACGTGTATGGATAAACATTCCCTTTCGTACACGAGTCTCCGTTAATAAAAGAACATAAAAATTTTTCTATTATTACTTACTAGACTTAGTTTATTGTTAAATTAATAAATTAATACTGTTAAAAACGATTAACGAGTAATAGATTGTCATAAAATAATAAACAGTGAATTAATTGGAAGAAACCAACATTTGGTGTTCTGTACAAGTCTAGCATTAGATATTATTAGCAGTATGCAGTAGAACTCCTTGAAGATTTCGTCCAGGGAAGTACTGCCACCTTATCTATTTCTACTGCCAAGCAGTAATGTGAGCAGTAGTTGCGTTTGAAGAGTAAGAGTACCTACTGGTGAAATTACAGGCACATGGGACTTCAACTTATGTGTCAGGGTCATGGGCGCAGTGGCTG